GCGCGGGGCGCGCAGCTGCACGCCGCGGCCGCCGACGGCGCCACGCCGCTGCTGTGCGCGACGCGCGCCGGCAACCTCCACACCGTGAGCCCCGCACGCACTCGCTCGCCTTCCTTTGCGCTTTCTTTCATCGCGGCACCTCATCTGGACTGCTAACGTCTATCGTCGCCCAAAGTACATTTTTTTTAAACAATCATAATTTTTCCGTTTCTTAACACTAAAAAGGAAATATTACTTTAACAATATTAAAAAACAGTAAAACATCCTCATAAATATAAAGTTTCTTTGAAAAATTTGCAGCGGTATTTAAGAAAACGACGATTGAGCCGTGAATTCGATATGTTTTATTTTTTGTGATAAGCAATAACACATTAATTTCATATTGTCTGTCTTTAATCAACAGATAACTAATGCAATTTAACGGGCGGTTAAAAATGTTACACAAATTATTTTCGGTGCCCCACAACCCCCGCAAGTCAGGTTTCAAGGCTCAGCAGCCCCACTTTCTGAGCTGCTCGAGGGCGTGGGTGGGGTGCGCGTGCGCAGGTGGTGTGGCTGCTGGAGCAGGGCGCGGGCGCGGACGCGGGCGACGCGGCGGGGGAGACGCCGCTGCTGTGGGCGGTGCGCGGGGGCCACGGGGCCACGGCGGAGCTGCTGCTGGCGCGGGGCGCGAGCGCGGAGGTGGCGGACAAGCGCGGGGAGACGCCGCTGCTGTGCGCCGTGCGCGCGCGCCGCAGGGACCTCGTGCAGGCGCTGCTGCGGCGCGGCGCCTCGTGCACGCGCAAGAACAAGAACCGCGAGTCGCCGCTGCTGCTGGCCGCCAGGCGCGCCTGCGTCGACCTGCTCGCCGACATGCTGCGCGCCGCGCCGCGCCTCGAGGACGAGGAGATGCTCCGCAGGTGGGCGCACTCCCCTTGCCGTTCACCCATTCCTTTCTTCACGAGACAGCGTCCACTGCTAAGGCCATTAAACCTGCATGTGACAGCGCCCACCTACACGTACAGCCTTACGTGGCTCGGAGCACCAACTGATGCGTGCAGTGCCTGCGTCCGAGAGGTTCCTGGGTTTCAGTTCTCACTCTGGCAGAATTTTCGACACTATATACATAGCTAGATCGACTTCAGCCATTCCCTGGAGGAGAATCCTAGCGTTCGGCTGCGCTGGTCGGTATTTTTTCGGGATTTATACGATGAACACAAGACGAATTCCAGAGCAGAACCATTAAAAACCGTGGCACGTATCAAGCGCGATATTCTCTTCCTCTTCCTCGACCTATTCTCAACACTTACCCATTGCCATGCTATTCATGTCGGACGCCTGGTCGGGAGCCTAGAGCTTGTTCCGTGCGGGGGAAATTCCCCGCCAGCCGACGTGCAGGTGGGCCCCGGATCTGTCCACCTCCGGGAATAGAATCGTTCAGATCCCTATCGGGACTGTTGATCTTGGCAGTGGACGCCGCGCCTAGGCCTAGGCACCGATGCCAACCTTCAACCGAGGTGCTGGCAACCTCCTCCGGGGCGAAATGCCGCCGCCCTCCCACGAATGCCGAAGCGTGGGCATCTGTGTGTGGGCCGCCTCGTGTATCTAGTCGGGTTTCGAGGGCCTGTCTCCGCCGCCAGGTGCCTGTTCGAGGCGGGCAGCGCCGACGTGGTGTGGTGCTTCGTGGACGCGGCGCGCGACCTCGTGCTGGGCCGCGCGGGCGAGCAGGCGCTGCACTTGGCCGCGCGCTACGGCCGCCAGGAGGCGCTCGAGGCGCTGCTGCAGGTGAGCACGCCGCGCGGCGGCAGGCGGATTGGAGTCTGCCAACACTGGGCTCTTGCGCGTCAGATCCCACTTATCCAAAGAGCTTCAGATACAACTTTGCCTCCCAATATTGGCGGGAATAGTGAATGTAGCCTGGTATTCCAACTGGACATAAAATGGCGGAATCGGTGGCGCAAAGGAACGCGGAACTCTGTATCTAGATAATTTAACCGAAATCTTTCTTTCGACTGTCGTCACCTGACACGTACCCACTTGCCCACTCCATTTCCGAGTGGTATGCGTAAAGGTACACTGGCGAACTCCACAGCTTTCGCCACATTATGGATTTGCTTTATTGTCAGTAGAATACGTTATTAGACAAAAATCTGGTATACACAAGTACAGCAGATCTTTACAAGCCAAGAAAAACAAGAAGGATCGAAGTAGTTGATACGGGCGCACGTGAATAGCAAACATTTAATGCCGGGCGTCATCGTGTTTGCAGCCTTGCACCAGTAGCTAGACTAATATGTGTCAAAGTAGTGATGCACCGAATAAACGAATTCAATCTGTACACGCAATATGAGAAAAGCGCACTAACAAAAAAATACAGTGGGACGTCGTTATCCGAACTGATTGGTATCAGATATAGTTCGGATATTCGATAATTCAGATAACCGAACATAATAGCTATGTGGGCTACCGTTGCACTAAAAGGCGGTGGGTTTTCTGCTAACAATAACCATTCTGAGTGAGTGCCAACTGTTGAGCATTTACGATCTGTTGTTTGTACCGTTAGTTTTCTTGCACCTAAAAATGGTGAAAAGCGTTTTTCTGCTAATAATAAACATTCCGTGTTCTTAAGCATTTATTGTAGGATTTGCCAAAGTTCAATAAAGTCAGATGATTGACAATAGTAAACACAATGATACAAATCTCGTTAATACCTTATCACTGTCAATTATATCGAGGATCATTCTCAATATTCAATATTACAAAAGGAAATGAATACGTATAGAATACGGTACCTAATTTAAAAAAATGATTTTTGAGAGAAAATATGAGTTCGGATATTTGTGGCTTGTTTTTATGATTGACTTTAGGATAATCGACGTGTCACTGTATTAGCAAAGTCGAGAACAAGCGAAAATATGTCTGCTAGGAGCCGAAAGGCACTTCAAAAGAGGGGGGAGCAGGACCGAAAAGGCAGCCAGACTAAAACGCAAAAAGAGGAAGGCATCTAGAATGAGAGAGCCTGTGTCATTCTGAAGCACGATGCTGTGTGTCAGAGGGTGAATTGTTTTGGCGGTCAAGCAATTCGTTAGAAAAGAATACGGACATTCAATGCGTTCCCAAGGACCAAAGCAATGTCATTTACGAAGTGGCAATGAGTGAGCACTTTTACCAATGTCGTTGTGCTAATATTTTATTAACACACCTACGAGGACGCCATTATTAGCTTAGAACGGATTAGCTTCATTTTAGTAATTCATTATATACACTCTCTTTGAAATATTTTGCTTCAATAAATTAGCATTGTTATTCAGTCGGTGTGGCAACTCTTCAATTTTTTCTCGAATTCAACAGCAAAGGGCATTCATAAAAATGACAAGTTCTTTCATTTAGAAAATTGTTGGTTGAATACTGTAATTTTGTTGGATCTTCTTTAACGCCTTTTTTATATATCTCTGAATATTTTACTGAAACCAAACGTGATTGAACTAAGAGTTGATATATCATATCAGGTACAACTGATTTTAAAAAATCAATAGTTGGAAGTCATAACTTGAGAATTTTCCGAAAATTCCTAAACAAAATTTTCTGAAAAACGACCCGAAACTGTTTCTTTAAAGAATAAACCCAAGAAGATAATAACATAAGAATAATAACTTTATTTTTACACTTTTTCGCTTTTAAAAAGCACTTTCAACTGAAGACTTGAAATAAAAAGCATGCAAGTGCCATTTATATATATTCGGTAAACTTATTTGCCCATAACACTCCTGTCATTTATTGTCGCCCCTAAAGCTATCAGGAAAAATCGTCTGGACTTCGCTTATTTGTTATAGTGCTTGATTTGCGTCAAAAACGTCAATTGAAACGAAATGGCACCTTTTATTGCAAGTCTCAATGCGCAACGGCTGCCCCAATTAAGTGAATACTAATGGCGGGGCGTGTTGGGCCGAAGGTGGGCATCAACCCGTGCGCGTCGCACGGCGACTCGTGGTTCGCGCTGCACTACGCGGCGGCGGGCGGCCACGCGCCCTGCGTGCGCGCGCTGCTGGCGGCGGGCGTCGACCCCAACGTGCGCACCAACAGCTACCCGTCCACGGCGCTCAACTACACGGCGTGGAAGGGCCACCGCGAGAGCCTCGTGGCGCTGCTGGAGGGCGGCGCCGACGTCAACGCAGCCGACTGCGCCGGCCGCACGCCGCTGCACAGCGCCGCCGCCTCGGGCCACGTCGACTGCGTGCGCGAGCTGCTGCGCCGCGGCGCCGACCGCGCGCTGCGCACGGCCGACGGCCGCACGCCCATGGACCTGGCGCTGCACGACCACCGCGCCGACTGCGCATCGCTCCTGCGCTCATGGCCCGCCTAGGCCCCTCCGCCTCGGCCCACCTGGGCGAGCCCGGCCCTGGCGCTGCACGACCACCGCGCCTGGCCCGCCTAGGCCCCTCCACCAGGCGGACTGCGCTCATGGCCCGCCTCGGCCCACCTGGGCGCTGCACGACCACGGCCGACGGCCGCACGCCCATGGACCTGGCGCTGCACGACCACCGCGCCGACTGCGCCTCGCTCCTGCGCTCATGGCCCGCCTAGGCCCCTCCGCCTCGGCCCACCTGGGCGAGCCCGGCCCTGGCACTGCACGACCACCGCGCCTGGCCCGCCTAGGCCCCTCCACCCGGCGGACTGCGCTCATGGCCCGCCTCGGCCCACCTGGGCGAGCCCGGATCTGGCGCTCCTAAACCCCTGAGCGGCCTGCTCGCTGCTCCTGCGCCTCAGCCCGCCTAGGCTCGCCTCGCCTCTTCGACGACGAACCGCAGAGTTCTACAATTCGCTTACGGAGGCCAGTAAAATACTGCATTTAGTTTTGGATAATAAATGGGAAACGCAAAAAAAACTCCGCGGAAACACTTTGAATCTGATGCCATATTCATTTCATTTGGATTTTTTTATATAGTTATATACAGCTTTTATCATACATCATATCAACATAACATTTATACTATATTTCTGTATCGAAGTTGAAGTTCAATCATATGGATAGGTTTTTCTTGCTGTTTTCTTGTATTCTGGGTTGTGACAGAAACAGGAGTTTGTGAACAGGCGAGATTGCTACAAAGCAGTCCACTAGATCTTCCTCTGTGAGAACAAATCCCACTCTAGTTCCGCCTAAGGACATTGGAATTTAGGGGGCCTTTCCGAGAGAGAAATTCATTCGGATTTTCGTCAGCTGCGGAAACCGGCGCACGTGTGGGAGTGTCGCATTTCATCATCAAATCAGAGATTCGTGCAGCGAATGTTGGCAATGGTCATCGACGCACTACAAATGAAGGAAATTCACAAGAACATTCCCATGTGTACTGTGGGTGGCCTAACCTTGGCACACACACGCATACGCCGGCGTTTTGTCCGCACCGCCTTCAGTTGTCTCTACAGACCCACGATTTTCAGGCTAGTTGTTCTGGCCAAAGAAGTTTAACGGGAAGTCTTCCATCCGTTGTTTTGCCTTTGCGAATTTCTCACAATCAATTTTTTACGTGCGCATTTTTATAGATCTTTGATAGACGCTACTTTCCAATTCATACTACTGTACCCTTGACAGCATAGATGGGATCAAGTCGGCCATTTTTATTTGAACGCGTATTTTTGATGGAAGTATTGGCCGCATTGCCTACTGGACGTGCAAGTGAAGCCTGTTCTCGGTGCGAGTAACGCGCATCTCCCGAGCAAGCCCGGCCAGCACCGCCTACACACATAACGCCAGCCGACTGGCCTTGCGTTGGCGCGACTCGCCAGCCTCTTCTAGTGCCTGGGGTTTGGCTCCCCCCCAAGCGAAGAGACGGTGCAACGCAGCCGTCGCGCGTCCGCTCGCGCGTCAGGAGGGCGCGCGGTCGCGGTGCGAAACGCACGTCTTTAGACACACAGCTAACAAGAAAAGCGGTGCGCGCCTCTGGGGGCCGAGGCCAGCTCTCCTCTCCTCAAAACCTCAATTGCTCATAAATTTTCCCAATTTATTTAAGAGAGTTAATTGATCGCATTACACGTTCAATAATGTATTTCATTTGCCCGGAGTGAAAGTCATTTCCAGAAGAAATTCACATTATAGATAGATTTATTCTGCCAATAGTTCACAAAAACTGTGGCATAATTTCATAATAATGACGCAATAATAACACAATACTAACAGTAAGAATAAAATACAACGTAGTCAATAATGATTAGAAAGCAAAAGAAGCAAAGAGAGCACTCGGCAGCGCTTCCGAGTGGGGCGCGTCTGCTGGCAAAGCATTGCTTCGGCGACAGATCTCAACGGCCGCCTCCCCGTCAGGTCGCTCAGAAGCGCCGCTGAGCCTCGTCGCCTCCATGTTCACTGCTTCGCTGCTGCGCGACTCGGCCCGGCGAAGCCCCACCCCCCACCCTCCGCGCTCCGAGACGCGGCCCGGTGCTCCTCGGCCCCCCACGACATGAACAATTTCTTTAAACACTTTTTTAAATAATTGAACGAGTCAAACACTTTATTTTTCTAAGCATGTATTAATTTTCGCGACATTTTGAGCTCGTAAATGCAACTATCAAATTCAATGACAGCTTGTAACGAACGCTAAAAGTCAGTAAGTTATTTTAAATATTAATACATTTTATTTGAATATTAATTATTGTGGAAAAGAGGGGTACGATCAGTGAAAATAGTGGGGCGCCCCACACCTAGTGTCTCTGTGGGAAGGCGGCCTTACTTGTCTCCTTCACTGAGGAAATTTGTAACAAACTTATTCATTGTTTTCTCTCGGGACTTTCTCTTGAACCCGCAGTTTGGGGTAATTGCAGATCCACTGAAGTTAATTTAAAAACATATTCATTTCTAACATTCTAGAAATATTAAAATGAATAATCATCTAAATACACAAACTAATATTTCTTGGAAATTTTATTCCAATATTTTTCAACAACTTTAACTACCAAAAGAAATCACTTCTGCTGCCATGATGTTTTTGCAATTCCAATATAAGAAAGGGTTGAAGCCATGAAAATGAATGCCAGAGAAAGATTCACAAAAACACCCAAAATGAATTTATGAAAATGACAACATGAGAGTACTTATTCAAGCTTTTAAATAATCTAAATGGGGCAAATGTCATAAAATGATATCAAAATACATTTCTGATAATTGAGGGTCAGGGTCATGATCAGAATATGAATAAGTTAAACATTGACGAATATCAAAACCTTCATCCAGCTAAGCTTGAAAAATAATCAAGTTTAATCACTATAAAATGAGCAAATAAAATGATTATGCAAATAAACAAACCAAGTATAGTACACTGCAAATAGTACATGCAATATTTTTAAAAAAATTCTTAGTATGTACATTGCATTTAAAATTGTATTTATTGCTTTTAAACCTTCCAAAATATGAGGAGAATGGTGACAATTGTATGTCTATGGAAGCAATACATGGGTGTTTATTGTAATGTAAGAGTGTAAACACTTATAATGAAATAAGTTTCCTGAAAGCCACATAAATTCTTTCATTTCATTTAATAGATATTTCTCTGCAATTTTTTCCCCAGTACAGATGTTTTGTGTTGAATAATATTAATACTGGAATATATTTGATACCCATCTCAGATGTAATATTTAATACTGTTTTTAAAATTTATGATTCTTTTTATAGATTTTTTTTCCTTTTCAAAATTTACAATCATGTATGACATGCTAAATAGAACAATATATTTTTCAATTTCTTGAAAATGAAGAAAACATTTAAAAAATAATTAACCTGTTGAATTAAAATGCACAATGTAAAAAAACAATGATAACCATATTAGAAATTCTGTCAAGTAAGGAAACAGAACATATTATTCCAAAATATCACATCTTCTGATATGCTTTGACAAGTGTATAAGACATTTTAAAATATTTATATGGTACCAGCGTGATATAATTGAATGAGGAGAAATGTATTTAATTCTTGCCCCTAATTGCTATGTTACTTCCTCAGTTGTATGTATGCAAGAATCAATTTGTTCAAGAATTATGTTCACAGAGGAATGTTGAAGATTTTTACACGTCTCAGATATGATATTTGGTTAAAACTTAGTATGTTTCTAAAGGTCTGCATTTTATGTTTCTTATACATTCAAAATTTGACAATATAAATTTGCTGACGGTACAATAGATACAAATTATAGATTTAAAATTATAACACACACTTTCCACAATCACTAGACCAAAATGTAGTTATCTAACCCATAAAAGTAAACTTGTGTAAGTTATTTTTTTAATGATCTTGTATCAGTATAATTTGCATCTTTTATAAAAGTCTGCAAATTAATATGGCCCAATTTTGAATGTAAAATATATTTGGTTACAATACTAGAATATATTCCAAAAATCAAACAAATATGTGCTGTGATTTTGATCCACTGAATTTTATGCCCATTCAAATAAAGAGATGAAATTAGTTTTCTATATATTTTGTTTTACATTTGTGTAACATTTCTTGCAATTGAAGTTAATTCATACTTATGATGCCTGTGAGTTTCATGGTACAGTGGTAAATGTGTTTTTCACAAATTCTTGCCTACAGAAAATAATACTTAGTAACATTTCATTTGATTAGAATAGTATAAAATAAATTAACAAAATGTAGCATTGTTTATTCATGTAAACAAATAAATAGTATGATAGAGGAAGTACACCCTCTAAAATATTATATTGTTGTGGAAATGTACCTTCAGAATACTCACTGTCACAATACGTGACATCTGTAACAACTTCTAGTCTAAGTTACATTTATATTGTGGATGGTTTTTATTTTGCAGTTGGCTGAATGAGAAATTGAGGATGCAATTGACATGATATGAAAAGCTGTGATGATTCAAATGATTAAAAATATCTATACATTAAAAATGTTCTACGGGCTATTGTGAAATGATCAATACATTGCTAATTGAAAAATGTCAATTAATAACTCAATTATAACCAATTCCAACTGATTGTAGATGACTGTGCTTTGACCAAAATATCTGCACCAGTGTAGTCAATAACAAAGTAGTCCTACAAAGAACTTGTTCCTTACCATTGCATATTAGCTGCTGCCTACTTGTTATATCAGTATATTTATAGTTTATTATGAGGAAATATGTCTGTACAAATATTATACTGAATAAAAATAACCTTTACAATAACTTATACTCAGATCATATTACATACACTTTTATTAAAATTTAAATTGTTAATGGGGAAAAAAAGGCTGCTTTACAAATTTTCAAACCAACGTCATTAGTACCTGTCATACAAGGATACAGTATTCTAAGGATATTGCTAATTAAATGCTTATAGTGAGCTGCTCTTCCACAGTTCCATAAATTCAGT